AATTAAAAAAGACGTGTTTAGAAGTAGTCAAAAAAAATACAAGAATTTATAGACTCACTGAAGATATAGCCTCTAATAGAGCAGAATGAAAGACCAGAATTCATGTAGCCGACCCCAATTAATTGAAAAAAAGCTAAAATGATGATTATATATGTCTATATATATATTCTAAACTTCACAACCCTTCAAATTTTAAAGTTCTTACAAAAGTTCAAGATAGAGAGAATTGTGAAGGGTGGACTTATTAATTTTGTTCTTTATTTTTTAAAAATAGTTACTTTTATGGAACAAATTTGTAAATATTACTACAAGACAAATAATACTTTTGTCATCTAATAAAATTTCAGGACACTATCTTCTAAAATGCCAATGCACTTTTGTGAAAATTTCAAATTACACTATCAACTCTCATATCAAAATGCCATGGGCATGCATTAAATATAAAAGAATGCCAATTAATAATGACGGAAATGAAAGAATCATAGGTATGATTGTTCTGATCCGTACAAATTCGATGAAATTTCTTAGAAACCAAAATCCATGATCAGATTCAAGTAAAAGGGCAGAGTGATAACAAACTGGCAATGTTATGCAGTGAAATGATATTTTTTATGTATGAACAGCATCTGGCAAAACATCTTTGAAAAGAAAATATTTTTGGGAGTGGCACCTTTTTTTTTCTGTTATTTATATTCAAGTTTAAGAAAGTGAACTCTCCTTCATTTCCCTTCATTTCTTACGAGCCAATGCTGCAGCCAGTCCACCAACGACGACTCCAACAGCAGTGGCCGCAATGCCTATGCCAATTACGCCATCTGTGCACATGTAATTTTCAGTGAGCCAAATCTGATGGGTGTTACCCAAGATAAACAACGAACAAAAGGCACATAATGCATTGAAAAGACATGGATAAAAGATACAAGAACTCACAATACTGATTACACAAATAATGCTCCTCTTTGTTACAAATAGCATACTGAGCTACAGGTGATGCACAGGTAATGCATCCAGTAAGAGCATACGTGGAGGCGTGTCTGTGTGTGTGCATAGAGAGAGAGAGAGAGAGGGGTACATTGCAGGCAGTCAGGCATCCAGTAAGGGCATAAATTGAGGTACGTGCATGTGCACACAGAGAGAGAGACTTCTGCATCCCACCATAGAGAGTGAGAGAACTCAGAGAAGTGAGAGGGGAGATCAAGACTCTATGAGTGGAAAGATGCAAGACATCAGGAATAATGAAATGGTGTGTTTTAAACCCCTCGCCCATTAACATCCAATTTTTCCATAAAAGAGATTTTCTAGAAAAGAAGTATGGCAAGACGACATTTAAGTGACAAAAACTAACATACTTACTGGATACATTCATGATAATGATTATGAAATGCATTTATGTGACACAGCACTGTGTTTAAGAAAGAATGTAAACAACAAGCCACTTTTTTGTAAATTTAGGTTAAAGGAATTGTAGGATGCACATTAATGGAAAGCAAAGAAGGTTTTGGTTTCACTTAGCCCCACAAACCAATCTCCACATTGCATAAATGTTACAAATATATCACATCCATACCTTTAGCAATCTGATCTTCGACAATCTTTTTCAATGCCAAGGCCTGTCTGAAATCAGGAGCAATCTGTACCAGACCATTGGACATACAGGTCAAGAAAATCCAATGCTAAATTGCTAACTTTTCAGTTAATAAACACAAGGGGAAAAAAAAAAAAAACCTCAGTAGGACAAAGAAAAAGAATAAGTGGATTCTCATAAATGTTAAATGCAGCATGTCACGAAATGGAATTCTGAAAGACAGAAAAGGGATTACCCAGCAATATGTTTACATATAATGCAAATGCTGAAAGAGTTTCTTTCATTTGTTTTTTCTTTTGGTTTGTCGATAGAATCATGGATGATGTGAAAGCTAAATATAAGTCTTTAGTAGAACAAACCTCCAATGATCTCTCCAGAAGTTGCCTGCTCCTAGAGTAGTCGCCACTTCTGTAATGGCCCACTGCAAGAAGATAGAGCTTCTCTCTCTTTTCAAGTGGGCTAGTTGCATTATCCAAGGCAGCTGCCAATATAAAATAATTTCAGAAACAATAAACAAACTTCTGCCAATGAAGAAACCATTTTTGAAGGGTTATTTATGCATTTTTTTATGAGCATTAGACTGTGCTTCCAAATAACAGGAAGAAAAGAAAACCAACTCTAAGGGTAATGGGTGTATATTAGAAATGTTAGTGATGAGAACCCTCAGACCTTCCAGCATCGCAATTCCACGTTGCACATCTTCAGGATGCTTTGAATGAACAAGAGCCCAAGATAGCCTCATTATGCTTTCGCTCTTCACACTGGCTCCTTCCTCCACAACTTCTCTCTCGCATCCCTGTGAAACAGTATATAGAACACATGAAGCGGAATCAATTCTATACATTGATTCAAAGGCATCAAAACTTTATGTGACATTGTTGACTCAAGATATTATAGCAGCAACAGTTGTGTCAGTACCACTTAAACTAACAAACAATCTGATTGAGTAGAATACTAATAAGCTTTGAGAATATTAAAGATTAAACTAGCTTAACCTTTCAACAGTGAAACCAATAGAAAGTGAAATATTGGTATAAACATCCCCTCCAACAAATAAGGAGTACATATAAATCCATGCAGTTATGCCAAAATTCCTAAGTTATCCTAATCGACTAGGCCCTTGAATAATTGATATTCACAAGACTCCCCTCTGAGCAACATATAAGAATCCTTCTCAACGAAGGTGCTTGTAGATTAAACCATCATTTAGCCTCAACCATACAATTGCAACAATTTGTCACAAAGAACCAAGAGAAAATTCACTTCGGATATGAAATCTTCAAAAGACATACTGACAAGCCACAATGATGTGAGAAATGAGAATTGCAAGCTATGTAGGCAAAGGTGTTTCGAGTGTGAAAATAGCAAAGTATAAGCACTTTCAATGTTGTGTATATATGAGGACATACATATTCCACGTAATGGAATCACATGCATGTCATTGCACAACGGAGAAGATAACAAAAAGGGAAAAAGAGGATGTGTTAAAGTCAAACTGAAAGAAGACTGAGAGAAGCTTCCCATGCTCTGGAAAAATTTTGGCCCCAAAAAGTAATAGCCATAGATACTTGACTTCTTACACCTAAATCTCAGCACAGTTGGATAATGAAAAGTTGAGTTTAAGCCTCCTAGGATAAATGGAGTGAGGAAAGCAGTGTTCAAAAGAAGTGAAGTGAGGTCCATGGCAAACATAGTTAGCAAATAGAATAACTTTTTAGGTCCTACATGTGTACGAACTTCGGTTTTTTTTTTTTTTTTTTTGTTATTAATTGACAATCCCCAAATATATGAAATGGTTTTCTAAGACTCAAAGATGTATCTGTAATAGGTATCAGTAAACATAATTATCACCTGGCAGAAAGAAAGAAAGGCCATCCCGATATATGAAACAGAAAGAGAAAAGCCATCCATCATTACTAGGCTCCATTTATTCATGATCGAGTAACATAAAAGAGCCTCGAGGCAAATGTCCCCAGTTGATCGATGAATGATCCCAGATGAAATTGTCGTAAGAAGCCCTAAACTCCATGTGTTAAGGAGTGAAGGTTGGCATTGAACTTCTACTAGTTGAGGACTAAATGTTAGGCAACAAGATTGTCACAAAAAAGGTTTAAAGAAAATGCTGGGCAGTCCTTAGAGAGAGAGGAGGGGGGGGGTGGTCACCCAGAGTTTGAAATAAACATATATATGCATATATGTGCTATACAAACGCACATTTATGCCTATATGTGTTGAATATGTATTCATACATTTATATGTAATCTAGTTAACTTTTTTATACAAAATATACGTGCATGAATGTTGACAAAGTTCAAATCATTGAAAATTTAGCTTCTTTGAGGGCTCGTTTGGTTCCCTGGATTTTTCAATCCTGTGGAAAAAAGTGTATCCTAGAATTGGTACTTACTAGAATTGGCATTTCTTGGAATATTGTATGCTATTTGGATAGCATCTGGTAGAGACCAGGAAAATGCAAATTCACTATTTGGATTGCCTGGAATATATTTTTCATGGAAATTCCAAATTTTTTATGAGTTATTATTATTCCAAAAAATTAACCAGCGACGAAGTTGGTAGCTATCTTGTAACACTATGGAACAGGTATTATTCCACACATACAAAAACTATCATCTATAGGCTTGACCAGTCAAATATGTGTGGCAATTTGAATCCATTGTACACATTACTATTTGAGCTTATTGATTTTAATTATCATCTATACTGTATGCAAGGCGACTATTCTGCTTAAGTTAATCTTGTCTATTTACAAAAGAGATTGGCAAAACCAATCCATATGCCTCAACAAAAAACTGAACAAAATTCTAGGTTTAATTCACAGTCATCATAACAATTGCCAATGGTTGTTGAAATTTTCCCTGCTACTTCAGATCTATCCCCACCAATCAGGTTGATGGCAGGTTAAACAGAAATCAAATATAGTCGAAAATATTTTTATTCCATTCAAATAGGCAAAAGAAGCTCTTTTCCAGGGCCAAAAGATTTCTAAGCCAAATATCATATGAATGAGGTATGGCAGAACAAATATCCATGGAATTCAGACATCAAAATTCAAGAAAACTAACTATAATAATCAATAACACAAGAAATAAGTGGAGGACACCAAATCCTAAGCCAACAAGAAATATTAATTTCAAACACAAACAAAAGTAACACCAACATGAACACTAGTACAAGCCAATACATGTACATTTAAGAAAGAGTTGAAGCGCCTTTCTATGCAAACTGCATTCTACATTCAAGAAGATACAAAAACCAAGCACTGATCCCACAGGCACACCAGGCCATGGAGAGGGGAAGCACATGTGGGGATTCGCATCAACTCCTCCCCTGATTCCATCTCCAAAGTACTGATCCCTGTGCTCATGTTCTCACCGGAGCAAACAACAACTGCTTCTCTCTCTCTACTTTTTATTCAACAACACCACCCATCATCGTCCACTTTCTCTCTCCACCTGCTTTACCAATGACTATTTGATAGTGAGCAACAGCTCGCGTCCACTCTAACTTTGCCTTTCTTTCTTCACAGCAAATGAAGGCGTCTTAGTTATTTCTTTTATGGAGGCAATGTCATGCAAAAAAGAGAAACAAGAGAGAAAGAGCATGATCTTTGGAAGAGAGAAGCAGGGGGGGGGAGGGAAGCGTTCTTCAGGCAAGGGCGTCTAGGGTTTCAGGGGCAAGGAGTTGCAGAGAGGGGCTTCAGAGAGGGGCGAGGTGTTGCGAGCATGGGTTAGGGTTGGAAAGAGGAAAGGACTTCAAAATGGAATTCCAATCTGACTTACTAACATTTTTTAAGTCCATTATTTCCTACAAATATGAATTCCACCTATTTTGGTGGAGTTCAGATTTCCATTTTTTAGCCTTAAAATGTGGGAAAGTCAATTCTCAGGATTTTTCAATTCCTCCCTCAAAGAGCATCCAAACACATTTTTTGGACATTTTTCCTAGAAAAGTGACTCCCTAAAATCAGAATCTGAGGAACCAAACAGACCCTGAATAACTAGAATAGACAAGAAAATAAAAAGTACAAAGTATATTAGTGATTAGTGTCCATACACCATACTCTGCAGTTCACACTTCATATTGTTACCTTTACAGACTCCAAGTCTCCAATGAGACCAAATGACCAATACCAAATGACATCGTACAAAAGATGCCATATAAATGAAAAGAAAGAGAAGATTTTTAAGTATTCAATGTTTTGGATGTTTTATCCTTAATTTTTTGGCTGTCTAACAAGCTCAAAATTACCCCAAAGTCTTCTAAGAACCTCATTTGAACCCCAAAATTGATTGCAATACAATATGGTACAGTTTAGGTGGATTCTATGAACTTCTCAAATTTTTCTTGTTTACAAAAAATAGCAAAATCCATCAATTTTAGGTGTTTCTAAGGCATAGGAAGAGTTGCTTTGAGGGGTTAGAATACCCCCTCTAGAAGGACAAAATGTCCCAAAATGGACCCCCCAAAAAAAGAAAAAAAAAAAAGATTATGCCATTTTAACATAGGTTCCAGGGTGTGCCCACGCAGAACTGGACATTGGGGCCCACCTAGGAGGGCACCAAGGAACTTCAGCACAGGAAGGCACGCCCAAAGCCTAGGCATGCAGCCTATGGCCTCTTAGGCATCTAGGCGGCGCTGGGCAGGCCCTTTTTTAAAACAATGGTCACAGATGGGCCTTGAAACTTTAAAAAAATTAGAATGGATGAGGATACTCTCCTTAATCTTTAGATGATCCTGAGGATCTATCATACACAAACTTGAGTATGAACATAGAGCAACTAAACCATGATCTAGCTTTATGAACAATATATCACCATTCTTTAAAGTTGAAAGAAACCATACAAATTTCTAGTTATGTCTACAAAGACCTTATTACACCAGCTTATCTGACAAAAATATATAAAATAAAAAATTTCTATGACAAACAGTGTTTCAAAAAGCGGATCGCTCAATGCCTAGGCGGCCGTCTAGGCGGTCCAAAAGGTTAGGCGGCAAAACTAGGTGGTGGTCCTTGGGCGGCCGCCTAGGCGGTATGGCACCCACCTAAGCGGGCCACCTAGGGGCAGGGGCAGAAATGACTCTTTTTTTTTTTTCTATTAAGTTTTTTTGAAAAATAAAAGCTTTTAAGAGTGGGTTTTAGGTTCATTTGAAACCTAAACCCACAAGAACCCATTTTAGAGAGAGAAAACGCTCAAAAAAACTAGATTTTGTGAATTTCATTGGATCGCAGTGTTCCTCAAAGTTACGGAAAATGGAGTCAAACATCACCCAAGTAGATTAGATTTAGTTTTAGAGTTTTTTAATTTTATTAGATGGTGTTTTTTAATATTTTAGCACCATAAAACATCTCAGAGGTGGAAGTTTGGAGTTCGAGCAATCAAAGTAAGTGCAAAAACTTATTTTTTAGATTGCTTGTTTTATTTTGAATATGGATATAACCCGAATCCAATGGCAAAAATTGCATTAGATGCAATTATTGTGAAAAATATACAAAAAAGGGCATAAACCGGTTTAAGAAACATCTTGCGGATATTAAAGGGGAAGTTGCCCCTTGTAAAAATGTTCCTGAAGCTATAGATATTAAACAACATATGAGTTCTATAAAACAAAAACAGGAACAAAATCCTTCTCATTTGAATAGATCTTGCCTAGGCAGGCACCCAAAGCCTACGCCCCACCCAGGGGCAGAAATGCAGCTCCTTGAGGGTATTTTTGGATCATTTTTTAATACTAAAGGGAAAAAATTCTAGGTTTTACTTTCATTTGAAACCTAAAACCCATTTGAGACTATTTTAGAGAGAAAAAATCCGAAAAAAAAAAAATCTACTGGCCTCTAGGTTTTGGTCACCCGCCTAGGCACTGGGCGGCCTGGACCCCCCCGACCGTCTAGATGCCGTCTAACGCTTTTTGAAACACTGATAAGGAGTAATTTTTGTGAAAAAAGATACCAATGGGGGTATTAACCGATTCAAAAAACACCTTGCCGGTATCAAAGGGAATGTTACTTCTTGTAAAAAAGTTCCTGAAGCTATTCGGGATGAGATTAGACAATTTTTGAATTTAGAAAAACCAGAAAAGGATGAAAATGAGCCTTGTTCTATGGAAATATTTTCTCTAAGTTCTTCTAGAAGTGGTGATCAGGATTGGAAGTACCGTTATAACCTGAATCTGAATGACAAAAATCATATTAAATGTAATTATTGTGAAAATGATACTAATTGGGATATTTACCGGTTCAAGAAACACCTTGACGTTATTAAGGGGGATGTTGACCCGTGTAAAAATGTTCCTGAGGCTACCAGGGAAGAGATTATACAATATTTGAGTTCAGAGAAGCTCAAAAAGATAGAAAATAGTAGAGCAGCCAAGACTCTTAGGGCCTCATCTGCACATAGTAAGGGCGAGGAAGATGCAAATTCAGAAGAAATAGAGGAGGAAAAACGTTATATTGAAGAGGGAGATGACTCTGATGATGATGACCTCGAATCTAATGCATATGATGACGCTTACCCTACTCCTTCTGATGATGATGATGATGACTAAAGAATAAAGAGTTGAAGATGCTTGAGTGCTTGACACATAAAATTCTAGTTAAATATTAGGCATTCTTTAGATTTTTCTTAATCCTCAAGCATTTTCATAATTTATATTCTCTTCCATCAGCGTTGAAGCAATGCGCCTCAAGACCAGACCCATTGTTCTCTGGTTGATGTTTGATCAGGTCCTAGCAATATGGATTTTGTGGGATTTTTTCAATTATTTTCATTTGTTTTCAATTGTTGTAAGAGTAATGTTAATACATAATGATGAATAATCGCCAGAGTTCTTTTAATTAATGAAGGGTGTAGATAACTGCAACCTTAATTGTACACAAACCCCAGCAAAGCATGTGGTAAGTAATAAAACTCAAAATTCTTTCTGGGATATATCCTTGGAAAAAGTATATATAAGGGTGAGGCCCCAAACAATCAAATTAAGGCACACCTCAAAAATTCATTAGAAAAGGTTGTTTTGATGCTGAAAAACCCTTCATTCGATCATCTTGACCTCAAGATGTATGGAAATGAGAAAAAAATAGATTTCAAGTCTTAGAAATAGTGCATCTCGTAGTGTATTATCTAGACCGCCAATTTTCAAAGATATTCAATTGTTCATAGATCTGTTCGATCTATACTATTTTTCAACTCTAAATTTTATAATTACAGATGAAAATAAATTTTCAGGCCATCATAAAGAACATGTCTCGGGACTATTTAAAGGTGCACCCTACTTTGATTGTTTAGGGTATCTTTTGTTGAAAAAAAAAACAGAGAGAGACAGACCAGTAATCAATATGAACCTCAGCAAGACCAAACATGCTGAACAATCCAACAAAAGCGTACAAAAAAATTGACACCATTGATTTAGGGAAGAAACTCATCAAAGCAAAGTAGTTCCTTTTTTATAGCAACCAACTCAATAATTTCAAATTTTTCAAGTAACAATACACAGCCATATTACCAGCGTTTACCATTAAACAAGTTCCACAGCTGCGAAAATTCCTTTAGAAATTTTTACCGAACTGTCCATTTTCTCTCTTTGTTTGTATGAAATAAAAGTGTACATTTGCTCCTAACAATAGATCAATTCTTCATCTCTTCATTCTGGTAAGAAAACACAAAGAACTTTCACTAGAAAACATACATGCTCTGCACGAATAAAAAGGAAAGTTTCAACCTCATCTTAAATTTTAATTGAACAATTTAAAGATAAAGCCATCAAAATCTTCAAAATCTTCAAATAAATTAGAGGGAGAAAGAGAGAATCAAGATACAACAATCAATAATTGGAAAGCTTCAACTTTCAACCGAGAATTCAATTGCAAAATTCAAAATCCATAACCATTAAGATCTATGGAAAATTACGTACACAGAGAAACATAAAGAGAGAGACATCATGCAAATATAATCAAATAGAACAAGAGAGAAATAAAATAACCCATGAAAACCCAAAACTCATAATCCAAAAAATGAAACTAGACAGATATCACCTATTAAAACCGAACTATCAAACATATGAGAAAACAAGAAAACCCTAATGAGTAAGCTTCAATTTCTGCGCAGAGAACTCACCGCAATGATATCACGATCTGTAACTGGGAGTTCATCTCCACTTGAAAAGAAGGAACCAACCGACTCAAAGAATTTCCCAATCTTTGCATCCATCTCTTCTCTCTCTGCAACTTCAATGAGGCGATCAATAACAAACAATAATAATAACTGGAATCCTATTTCCTATTTCTAGGGTTTTTGTTGGGGTTTGAAAATGGAAGGAGAAATGAGAAGTGATTCAGGGTAGTGTGATTCCTTTAGGACCAAGTTTTCTTTCCTTGCGTCCTCCCCATATGAACTCCATGGAAGCGGTACTATTACTACGCTGTTTCTTTCGTGGCCAATGTGTGTATGGTACTGCCGAGGGAGCTCACTATACATTTAATCCCGCGGGGACTACATTACAATGAGGTCATCATTGCTTACAATTTCATATTTTTTAGAGGTTGGATTTGGAAAATTGTTTAATGCAGGCTGGACTGCATTTTTGTATTTTCCTCATGCATGAGAATTCCTCACGGCGTCTATGAGGTGGCTGATTCGCTCATTATTTCTAATGATATAATTGTTTCTATGTAATTTTTTTCCATTAATAAAATTTTGAACATTTGTCACCATTATTATGGTAGCATAGAGTAATTTCTCTCATTAATGCTTGCCTTTCCTACCAAATCACCATTAGTATGGTAGCAGAGGCTAAATTTTCTCATTAGTGCTTGGATGGATTGGTTCTAATTCTCTTTCACCCTCTTGTGCCTTTCCTATCAAATCACCATTATTATGGTAGTAGAGACCTTCTAGAGTTTGTCAAGGAACTCAAAGAACTTTCTTTTTTGGATAGTTCAGTGAGGATAGGGTCTCTTATCAAAAGTAGATATGGAACTCAAGATGTCATGTTGTGGTAAGTCACAATCATACTATCTAGCCTTGAGTCTTTTTTAGAGATAAATTTGATTATTTTTAACACACTATTAAAGATTTACTTGCGATAAATAAACGTTAAAAAGTAACCCTTCCAATGATAAATAGGATGATTTGACCCATAATGATTTTGTAAAGTAGCGTGACCAACGCACACAGCTTATCTCTTTTCTTTCTCTTTTCCTCCTCTTTAAATAAAGTCTATCCTAAAAAATCTAAAGAAAACAAACATAAATAATAGTTAGTTCTATAAAGGAGTTGGCAAATGGTTAGAATTTAAATAGTAGATCAAAATATGAAATTTTAAGAGAAATTATATATATATATATATATCTTCATGTCCCCTATTTTTAAGTTTCATATCTCTATGAACCCAATATTTAAATCTTATGTTTTTATATCTTCTAACTCCTTAGACTAACTTTTCTCACTTTAATCTGATTTTTCTAACCCAAATAAATTATAAAATAACAAACATTTTTAAACCTATATTTTCTCTCTCATCCCTCAAACTTATCGCTCTTTCTCTCTCCCCAAGCCCCTTCTCTCTCTCCCCCAAGCCCCTTCTCTCTCTCCCCCATGTAGTACCCCAACTCTCTCTCTCCCCAATCAGTCCCTAAGCCCCTTCTCTCTCTCCCCCGTAAGTCCCCAAGCCCCTTCTCTTTCTTCCCCCCTTATGGCCCTCTCTCTCTCTCTCTGTATGGCCCCCTCTCTTTCCATATTACCCCCGCTCTTTATTTGTCTCTTTCCCTTGTGTTTCCCCAAACCGCTCTCTTTCTCTCTCTCCCCCAATGTCACGACCCCGCTCCCCGACCCCTGCCCCCCGCCATCCCATACCAGAAAGTGACAAAGCGCGGAATCGCGAACACAGAAGTTGCGGATGTCACTCAAGTGGGAGTGGCTCAACGCATAATTTAATTTGGAATCACAGCAAACCATGAAATAAAGCAAAAACTCATACAAAACAAAATCCAAAACTGAGTAAAATAACGTCATTTATATACCTATTCAGACTCCAAAATTTCCTGTTACAACAAGTTAAAGGCACAACAGGCCTGATCACGAAAATTCCAGAATCCTTCAAAATACAATTTCACACATCCACCAGACACCTACCATCAAAAGAGTCAGCAACTGGAACTTTCAAAACGATTGCCACCACCGTCCAGCTGTCCACACTAGGGTATCAGATCTCACTCTACACAGAGGAAAAAAAGAGTAATATGAGCTAAAGGCTTAGTAAGCAAATTCAGCACCCTTGCATTCCAACCTAAATGCACTCCTAAAGGATAACAGACCCACAACTATCACAGTTCATGTAAGATCACATAATACAATCATACATTAATATATACAGACATAGTGAGCAGAAAATTTCAGATCTCAAGGCTTTCCATATTTTATGAACTAAATGGTCATACATACATATATCACTATCACACAGTCAGAAGCTTGGCTAGGGCATCCAGTTCAGACAGATAGAAATTAATAGGGCGTACTCTCGAAGTAGAACTCACATTGACCAGGCTATGCCAGTCCTGTAACTTGTGACTTCTACCCTCATTCAGGAAGGAGGACAATGACAAGTGGGGGGCCTCACTTCGTAATGTCCTCACTCACGTACGCAGTCCCCAGCGCGCTTTGAGTTTACCATAGGCTGAGGCCTTGCAAGACACGACCCTCCTTTGATGCCGTCAGGCGAGAGGGCGTTGCACTACCATTGGAGGACCCAATATGTAGTGCCCATAATAAAGTGGGGGGCGCGACCCTCCAGTTATTTACAGTTACATCTCGACTCCTCTCCTATCATAGGAGTTGAGGTATAGTATATACCCCACTACCAATGGAGGACCCATTGAGTACCAATCAATTATCAGAATTACAGTACCCAATGGAGAGCCCATTGCGTAGTAGCCAGAATCAAAACCAGAATCATAAGCAAAATCAGATAACATAGATATAGTATCCACTACCAATGGAAGACCCATTGCGTAGTGGCCAGAATCAGAATTATATAGGTATCAGACCTAATACAAGCATGCTTAAATATTCACTCATTTCAAGAGGTTAAGAACATTCATGGTACCATAAGTATGCCATTTCAGTATCATCTTACAAAAGAATCAACCATATTCAACATATCAAAGCATAGCAGACGTATGATCTACTCAATGACTAGGAATTCATTATAATTCTTATCATAAATATGCATGTGCAAGGTGAGACACAACATCCAACTTATGAGGGAAATTTACTTCTTTTCAATTGCTCTTTCAGATTGAGTATGAGCCTCCCTCAATCACAGAAAGTATGAAGTGTAATTGAGCATGACCAATTCAGGGCTAATATAGAGTCTTGAGATTCTCAAATGTCATATTAGGGTATGTTTCATAATCTGGGATATAAACATCAATTTTATACAGAATTTCAATATAATTCCAAAACAAACTTTCAAGTTAACATTCTTAGCTTTCATGTGATAGTAATTTGAGATTATTTTGACCTCATTTGGTCCGTCAAAAGCATAAAGTGACAAAAGCAATAGTTTTGGAAATTTATGAGTTTGGTCCTCATAATTTGATGTATAACTCTTGATTTAGAAATAATTTCAAAATTCTTTGAACATGTGAATTCAAAAGGACACATAGACCTTTCAAATAAAAGTGGTACAGTCCTGGAAAATCATGGCTTATTCTAGCATGCTATCATACATTCTCAAGCTTGTATTCAAACAAAAACTATGAAAGCATGGATGCTATAATCCACTTACCTGTGCCAAGAGACCTCCAGGTTTACCCAAGTTTCTAATGGTGGTTGAATAGAAAGCCTTAAAATTCTAAGGCCAAGGAAGGTGGCGTGAGGGAGAGGGAGAGAGAGAGGGAGAAAGGGTGTAGCATTTGGAGTGAGGTTGGGGCTTAACATGGGTAGGGAGAGGAGGGGTGGCAGCATTCCACAACTAAGTGGCAAACAAGGGGGGGAGGGGGGGCACGGGGTGAACAAAGAAGATGAAAGAGAAGGAAAAGAGGTAGTCCCTTGAACTACCCTATTTAATTGTGCATTGTGATAACACATTACGTACGGTTTCCACGCACGGTGTTTCTCCTGTGTCGTCCACTCGCCTGTGAAAAGCAATATGCTGAAAAAATTCGGGCCCCAACATCATCCCCCCCTTTAGAGGATTTTGTCCCCAAAATCATAATTCTGTTAATCGACTAAATAGGGAAACTTATCCCGAATATCATTCTCCCATTCCCAGATTGACTCATCTCGGGAATGGTATTGCAACAAAAGATGGACGAGAGGAATTTCTTTATTGCATAGTATCTGCACTCTCCTATCTAGAATCTTAATTGGCTACTCAACATACATTCAATCCTCCCAGATGGGAATTAGCTCATATTTCAAGACATGGGATGGATCTTGCTGAAACCTTCTTGACAAAGATATCAGCCTGGTGGCAACACAAAGCCGATAAGCCATACTTCCAACCCTCTCCAAAATTTCAAAAGGCCCAATAAACTGTGGGCTCAACTTTCCCTTCTTTCCAAATCTCAAAACACCCTTAGTCGGTGATACCTTCAAGAAAACTCGATCATTTACTTCAAAGTAGAGGTCTCTTCTTCGATTGTCGTCGTAACTCTTTTGCCCACTTTGAGCAGTCTTAAGTCTTTCCTGAATCAAGGCAATTTTTTCTGAGGTAACTTGAACAATTTCTGGCCCTAACGGCCTTCTCTCACCTACCTCATGCCAACAAATAGAGGATCTACATTTCCTCCCATGCAAAGCTTCAAAAGGCGTCATCTGAATACTGGATTGGAAGCTGTTATTATAAGCAAATTCGATCAGAGGCAGATGATCCTCCCAGCTTCCTTTGAAGTCAGTAATACAAGCTCTCAACATGTCTTCCAGAGTTTGAATTGTTCTTTCTGATTGTCCATCAGTCTGAGGGTGAAAAGCAGTGCTAAAAGTAAGTATCCTCCCTAGGGATGATTGCACACTGTTCCAAAATCTTGAAGTAAATCTGGTGTCCTTGTCGGACACGATGCTGACAGGTGTTCCATGTAACCTCACAATCTCTTTAATGTACAAATGGGCAAGTCTATCCAAGGTATAAGTCGTGCGGACCGGTAAGAAATGGGCTGCTTTAGTCAACCGGTCCACAATGACCCAAATACTATCATGCCCGGCACCTGTCCTAGGTAACAAAATCCACGGTGATGTGCTCCCACTTCCAATCGGGTACTGGAGACAAACTGTGCCACTTGGAGACATCTCAAGCACTTGCTGACATCTCAAGCACTTGGAGACAAACTGTGCCACTTCTCTCTTCATATTATTCCACCAGAAAGTTTTCTTCAGGTCTTGATATATCTTGGTTGTAACAATCCT